AAATTGAATCAGTACAGAAAGACTTTGTAATCTGGGCACTTAGGGGAGTTTACCAAAGAGATGCTAACTACAGATTGCCATCGTACCAATTAAGATGTGATAATTTGAATATTCAACCGCTTTGGAGGCGGCGCATAAATGCCTCAGTATTTTTAATTTATGATCTCTTATTAGGAAAGTTGATTAGCGCAGCACTGAGGGAAAAAATTGTATATACTAGACGAGTAGACAATAGGAACCAAAGAAATTTGAGAAACAGAGATCTAGTTAGAATTGAGACTTTTGGTACTGGCTACGCCCGTAACCAACCGTTTATTTTAGCGTGTAGGTATTTAAATAAAGTAAGACAAACGTTTTTGGACTCAGCATCGAGGCAAATATTCATTAGAAATGTAGCAAATTTAGACAACAATGTATTTGAGGAACTATATGCAATGAGGCAAATTAAGTGACACGCACAAGAATAGCGCCATCTACAATCGTTAGAAGAAAGCTATGATTCTTACGGTCAAGCTTCAAAACATTAAAAAAACGTTCAAACGATCAAACGTTCAGACGTTCAAAACGCTTGATCCATCCGTCAAATTGAAATGTTGCAATTGCTTTTATTTCTGATTCGGTTTAATGAGTCATAAGAATATGCATTTTTCCTTGATTGAGAAAAACTCGAACTAAATTTTGTTTAACTTCGTAATAAAAAATAATACAATTCAAAAACGGTAGATACTTCAATCCCATAGCTGTCAAAGTCAGTGGTGATGGCGCGTGCTTTGGAATTTCAAATTTTCGAATTGCAGACTTTATTTTATGTATAATTATGCGTAAAGAACAACATTTTTACATTGATTTTCTGAAAATAAAAGTAAGCAAAAAATGCTATAATAAACCAATGATGATTATTTCAGTAATTTTGACTTTTGTTGAGTTCACATCGAACATTGACTAAAGGCTAACACCTGAATCAATGCTAGAATTTGTAGTGCTAACGCCCAAACCATAAGTATCCAATTGATAAAGTAAAAAAGGAAATTCATAAGAAATCAATGATTATTTCAGTTTATTTCTATAATTCTGATTTTTATTGGATTCACAACAATTATTGATATGTGACTAACGACTTACTCGATAAACCATATCTATGACTCATTAAACCGAAACTAAGGAAATTTATTGGAAGAATTTGTAGTGCTAACGCCCAAGACATAAATCTCCGATGGTTTTTTCGAATATGTTTTATATAAAAATATAAACCTGAGTTTTTAATGAGTTTGTTTCATGAAAATAATTTGGTCAAATAAAAATTTTCTTCAAAATAATGAGAAAAAAATGCGCAGTATGAAATATTTTGATTGAATCGTAGAGCCGCTAAACTTTGGAGGTTAGGTTGCCGTTCTTTTGCGGCATGAAAGATTCATCGTTGGTATTGTTTAGATCACGAACATTTTCATGTTTGATTACCACAAACAGCACTTACAACATATTTTGTGCATCTTTTTCACACAATTTTCATCGCATACTTGCAAAAATGATAGAATATCATAAAATTCATTTCTTCATTTGTTAAACGTCATTGAAAACTGTGGTTTACTGAGTCAGTCGGTTTATTGAGTCAGTCAGTATCACCGTAGTTTTAACAGATTAAAATCCATGTCTGGAATTATTATTATGCCACAGGATTGTTGAATTTATGCACATTTATGAAAACATTACTATATAAATATTGTTCGCGAGTGGAAACATCATTTACGTTATAACCCCGTAAATATTTCAATGTATCACTGACAGCTGTCATCGAATGTAAACATACGTGAAGTTGCTAACGTTCATTCAATAGCTTTACCCAAAGCACTAAAACTTGAACTTTTGTACACAAGTGAAGTGACTAAGTAATAATTTCAATTTTAAATTTTTCCCTCCAATATTAAAATATTAATCTCACACAAATTAAAAGTTTCTACATATTGATCTATCAATTTTTATTTTTTGCACTTTTTAAGTGAATATTCGCTAATAAAAAAAGAAACATCCATTGGAATAATTCCATTACGATGTTAGATGGCGCTGTTAGTTGTGACATAAATGCTTTACGTATATCACATACAGCTAGTTTGCATCATTGGGACAAAAACCTAGGGGCTTTTAAGTCAAAATATACATTCGTATTTGGGTGAATATTTCGTGAATATTGCATATAATCCGTGTATATGATGTATATTTTCATGAAAAATATTCACCATATTCACAGAATATACACAGCATGTAAAAAATATGTGTTTACGGCAATGTCGAATCTTTGTTACCGATCGTGAATATGAGGTGTATATTTCATGAATATCGTGTATATTCCGTGAATATCGTGCATATTTTGCCAGTATTGTGAATATTTCGTATGACTGTCATCTATGGTGTATATTTCTTTGATGGAATATACATGAAAGCCCCTAGACAAAAACATATAAGTCGATAAAACGAAAACGCCAACAGAACTTGCAAAACGCAGTTGGGGATTTTCTTGTCTCAGGTAGTACTAACGCCCTAGTATAGTCACTCCTGTATTGTCTGACCAGTCTTGCACTGTGTTATTTCATTGCTCTCTTCTAAAGATTCCCGAAACCCCGCAGTGGTTGTTATCAAAAAATCGAACGGCTGAGGCTGAAAAATCGCTTCGCTGGCTTCGAGGTTGGGCTACAAGTAAGGCTGTGGCGCAAGAATTTCGAGATCTACAACAACATATCGAACGTTCCAAGTCGTGTTATTCATGCATCAAACAAGATTTGAATTGCACCCATCCTCTGCCAACATTGAGAGAAAAATTCTCTGAATTAAAACGGAAACAAACGATCAAACCACTGTTTATCACAATCAGTTTGTTTGTAATCGCTCAATTTTCGGGTGTGTATATAGCGTGTGATTTTTTTCGAGTTGTATAGTGTCAAAATGGTCGATTTTATAAAGATATGTAAATATTGAAAGAAATTTGATATTTTTACCACTATAGAATCTACTTTGTGGACGTATACACAAAAATGTGGAACAAAATTGCATGCAAACAAAGTGTTTGCAAATACTTGCGTGGAAGTACTTCACTTGCATATAATAATTTGGTCGAAATTTCTGCGCTAATGTCCACAAAGTAGAATATAAAGTGCTACAATTATCGAATTTCTTCGAATATTTACGTATTTTTATAAATTCGATCATTTCAACCTACCTTGTGGACGTTTGGACAAATATATCGAACAAAATTTAAACTATTGTAGAACACTACTTTTACTTGCAAAGTCTGTTAGTATTACTCATTATTACATTGTAATTAGACCGCATCTTATTTCTTATCAATAAGAGTAATTAGTCATTTTTACAAGTAATAAGCAGAGAGGATAAATTTAGGCTCGCAAAATCGAAGAGTCATCACTTGAAGAGCTATAATTTCTCAACCAAACGTCCTGTGGAGGTCAGCTTTGAAACCACATATAGTTAAACTTGAATTATAGCTATTTTCGAGTCGTAATTTTGACAAAAGACCTCAAAAAAAATTAGTCGTCTTGCAGGGGCAAACATCCGTATTCGTCTTGCAAAATTAATTCTCAAAAAAGAAATTCAGGTTTAGCTATATGTGGTTTCAAAGCTGACCTCCACAGCTAAGAAATGTGTGCTATAGGATATATCTAGGACGTTTGGTTGAGAAATTATAGCTCTTCAAATGATGACTCTTCGATTTTTGCGAGCCAAAATTTATCCTCTCTGGTAATAAGCAAAAGTAATAATTATTACTTATAAGTAACAACATTTTTTTTATTACTTTTGAATTTTTTCGAAAAGTTTCATACAAAAAACCAGTGTATGGTCAAACGCATATTCATTCGATTTATTTTACGTTTAGCAAAAATGCCCAGTGTTTTGCATGAAACTTTCTTTGATGAGATTAATTGCTACATTAATAGGTGTGTATTCTATGCGAGCATTTATTGTGCAGATCTTCAAGGCATACGAGAGTCCACTTCCACCAGACCAAGCAACGGCTATTATGAGTTTCTTGGAAGTCATAGGCTCGGTTGTTTTCATGTGTTTGGTACGCTTCATCGGCAAACGACCCATTTATTTGGCCACTGCGCTGGGAATATTCGTTTGTTCAACGACCGTATGTTTGTGTGGCTTCATTCTGCTGCCAAAAGGATACATATCGTTTGATCAAACGCATGAACCATATCATCTAGAGAATACGATTCTGACTTATATTCCGTTGATTGGCTTGTTTCTGTGGAGCTTCTTCTCATACAGTGGGTTCCTTGCAATGCCCTGGATGCTTCTTTCCGAGATATTTCCGTTCAAGTAAGTTTTAGCCCATACGTTGGATTTTATCTCGTGCTTATTTATCTGGAAAATATTATATTGATGATGATTAATCGTGGGTTTTGGGCTGGCGACGCATATCAGCGGCTATAGTCAAATAATCGATCAAACATTGAATGCACAAATATATTAGTATATAAATTTCCTTTGCTTTAATACCTCTAATTATACTGGCTGTAGATAGCGCATCTTCTCTGAGTTGTTATTGTTTTAGATAGAATGGCATTTGAAGCCCGCATGATTCATTTATTCCTGTGAATCCATTTAGAAAGATCACTTTTAAATTTAGTTTGGAAATAATTGACGAAAAATTTTCTTCCGCATACTTTTCAGATCCCGTGGTGTAGCAAGTAGTATTGCGGTTTCATTCAGTTTCCTTATGGGCTTCATCTCTAGAAAAATATATTACAGTTTGGAAACGACACTGTCTCTGCCTGGCACTAAGCTATTTTTCTGTGTCATCTCTGGCCTTGGATTTGTTTTGATGTATTTGATTTTGCCGGAGACGGAGAACATCTCGCTTGAAGACATCGAACGACACTTTTCTGACAATTCAAAGAAAATCACCGACCGAAAAATTCGTAAATCAAATGAAAAGACATAATCAGGACATGTTGAAGGCTGCTGATAAAAACACAGGGAATTCGAGTTGATGTACTTGATAATCAGAGGGACAATAGTTCTTGGTTGAGAAAAATTGAGTATTTTGTATATTTAAAAAAATAAAATAAATTTTAAACAAAACTTCAAGAAATAAATTCGTTTTAATATTTCAAATTCAAGCATTTTAAATTACTCACACTAATCACACGTATCTTAAATTAGAAATTTAAAGAAGGATTGAGCCACTCCGCTAATCTTTTCCAATGCATATGTCTCAGTGATAAATAAAACAAATACAAGTCACAGAAAAAAGTGCTTGTAGATTGGTTCATTGTAATGAACCCAAACAAATTTCATTATTTAAAATGGGTAAATATTTGTAATTTTGTTACTTTCATCATTTGCGGCTTGTTTATTTATACTCTACACCGAAATTGTGTTTAGATTCATTATCAATAGGTCTCGTCCAATTTTGTGGTATAGTGTTATCAGCTTCCTATTTGTGAAATGTATTCTGGTCAAAATGCTGTTTGGCAAACTCAGTTGCTTTTTTACCGAGTGATTTTCATTGCGTCTCGGGCCAAGTTCCATTTCAACATCTTTTTCGTCATCTGTTGAATCAATGAATCAAAATGAACTAAAACCAAGTTCAATAACACATTGTTAAAATTCGAAGTGAAAATCTGCCAAGATGAAACGTTCAACTGACAAATCAAAATCAGACAAAATCAATGAAGAAGTCAGTCGATTTCGACAGATTTTGCCAAAGGTACAATGAAATTTAGTGAATTCAATCGCACCTTCTTCCTGTTCGTCATCGCTCAGCTCATCGTCCCCCTCTGACACTCCTTCATATCGCTCAATAGATTCTCTAAGAGCTAATTTTTTCAGTAATTTTCGGGTCAACACCATATTTTTAGCGTTTACGGTCACAACCGCTTTAATCTGGCGAATCGAAATGGCAAATGTTTGTTCGATATAATTTTTGACTGTTTTGGAAAGTAGAATAGCCGTGTGTCGGTGCGTCAATTCAATCACTCCCAACGAACGGACGACAAGCTGATCATTAATCATATATTGCGCATTGATAGATAAAACTGATAATGTGCCCTTTGTACAAGTATCCAGAAGCAGGCAAAGCGGACGATCTCTCATTTCATTTGCTATCATTTCGATGATTTCCTTACTCATCTCATCGATTTCACCTGCAATCGTGCGACGGTCGAATTTAATGTGGAAGCCTTTTTCACGTAATTTTTGCAAAGATGCTCTGCAAAACCCTTTGATTGCGGATGCATTTAGCAATCCGAACGGTTGTCCATTCACAGTGACAAATTCAATAGCACCGAATTTGAGTTCCAAAGCTGAAATTTGAAGGGATTTGATCTCGTTGGTCTCTTCGGGATATAATTTTGAATAAATAGAGGCATGTCGACTTTGAAGATGTCGTTTCAAATTGAACGTCTTCCAATTTGTGAATGTTTGTTTGCAATCTTTAGCCCGGCAATGAACACGTTTATCCGATGAAAATACTGAAAAATATTTATCTAATCCATAACGCTCGCCTTCAATATCACTATAATCACTATCAAATTCGTCAAAACTCATTTCGAATATGTGTGTTATTTCAATTAAATGCTAAATATTTATTCCATGCTATGAAATGCAACCGCTTGTTTTGAAGTGTGTATCGTTTTCAACGCGCCATGAGAATGTTTACAACAGCGTCGCTAGTATTCACGGTGCAGTGTGCACACAGAGCCCATTGTTTTCTGTCACACAGGACATCGACCTTGAAGCGCTACACAGAGACCGGCACACTCCTAATGCTACACACAAATACAAAAATACTCATCAAGTAACCATTGCAAGCGTTTGAAGTAGAGCTATACGTTTGAGACCGCAACGAAAAAGTCGCCTCAATTTCTAATTTCGTTCCACTGTATTAATATACAAACGAATCATTTGTATAAATTGTAAGTCTCAAATTACAAGTGTTCGGCGAAATGGAAAAGGTTTTTGCGGTTTATTATTTGACAGAAGCAAAACAAACTGTTGTTGGTAGAGTTGATTGGATTTTTCGATTGAATTTGGCTAAAACATTAAACAATCGAATAAATCGAAACCAGACACAAACTATCTTTTGGTCCAATGATCTAAAGAAAAATCCATCGTTTGACATTTCACCAGATTTACAATTGCGAGATGAATTCGTTGAAACTTCGGATGCCATTTATCGTGCAAAAATCATGAAATGTTTTGGTAAGTGTGTGATTCGATTCATTTGGGAAGCAAGAAAATTAGTGAATGCCAATTCATTTTAGAATCCGAAGCCGATGCAATGAAATACAAGCGTTTGTTTCGTGCTGTACCCCCGCTTTGTACAATAATAAGAGATTGCGTGAGAAACTGTTTCCATCGACAATTATTACTCAAGCCATCACCGTTGTTAACGATAATACTCCATCACCCAATAATAATCAAAATGCACATTCTGAGCAAGCCTTTGTAGAAAATGATACCGATGACGATGATTTGATTTGCTTGTCACCAGATAGAGACTTCTATCTTCATAGCCCACAAGATGAGAATGAAATGAATCAGAAGCTTGATGTCATTTCTGCATACATTGAATTCAATTTGAAGGTAAAACGTGTATTTTTTTTTTCAACTGCAAAATTGTGTAACTGAACGAAAGAAAATTTCTCATGTAAGGCTGACGGTTCTCGGATCTATACTATAAATGGGCGCAAGCGCTCATTGCCGGCGTATATTGTGAACACACTGAAGATATGGAATATCGCTCCTGAACATTCGAACACTGCAATAGACAGAAAGTTCGTCGAAATCGTCATGATTTCTTTCATTGGAACTGTAGTCTTCAGTTTAGACGCAGATTAAAGTATGGATGACAGCAGATGATAACGATTTTAGTTTGATTTTATTTAATTTTGGTTTTAATGATTACTACGACGTGTGTATGGTACAGCGGTTGTGTTGAGAAGAAGGACTGAGAGTCTGACGTTTGGCTGGCAAGCCGTGCTCACATATACACGAGCAAGTCATTTTGCCCGTGTACGTATTCTTAACTAATACCTAAGCACGTCGTGAAATGGTTGTTGCTGAATACGGCAGAGGGCCGTATTCGTTAAAGGTTATCTACAGTGCATTTGCTATAGTACTGTACTATAATACGACTACAGAACCGACAATTTGGTCAATAATGAAATTGCTCTGAAACTACGTCGATTTGTGCAAGGTAAATGGAAACTGAACACGAAAGAAAATGGTTTTTTCAACAGATTTATTCCATATCATTTTCAGATCTCTATCGATTTCGTGTAAAGGATGATTCAGCACGCTTTGATAAATTCAGCGATTATTTCAAGTCGAAGTGTGAAGAGCTAAAAAAATCTCGTGGCTTGTAAAGAAATTGGAGCAAACATTTTTCTCATGAAACATAAACAACATATGCTATTTTCTGTATATCCTTGCTTGAAAAGTAAACTTCATTTGATAATAAAATCACAAACAAAACAAAAACCACAAAAAGTCATTCATATGCAAACTTTCTCTTGAATAGTTGAAACTAAAATCACAAAATAAATTCTAATGTCTATTTCATATAAATTTCACACCATGATTTTTTTTTTTCAGTTTGAAACGTGAATTGCATGTTGTCTACAATTATTTCTTTACGTTTGTTTTGGTATGAAGTTAACTTATTATACGTATGTCAAACTCAAATGAGCCAGCTCTCTGTGAGCTGAGCGTTCATCTATTGAGGAGCTGGCTCGCAGGAGGAGCTCTCGGACATGCTTGATTTCCAGTGATTTTGATTGCAGCGATGACGGGGAATTCGAATGAACACAACCGCTATGAAAACCTTTCAATCACATCGGTGGAAGCTTCTTGGTTGGCTAAGTCAAACCACACTCTCATTTAAAATTGTAAAAACACTTACAAGGGATGCTGCCCATCGAATGACCGTACCCATAGCATCATCTAGTCAGTGCAACGCGCAACAAAGTGAAGCGTTAATGAAACATAGTCAGACATCAATGCATTAACGGCATCTATACGTTTTTTAGTAAAGAACAAGTAAATGTTCTCGTTATAAGGTTTACCCAATTGCAAACTGTGCTTTTGACCGGCGCAAGATAGCGGTGGCGCCTATTCGCAATTCGCGGAATTTTTAAGAACTATCAATACTTGTTGTTGTTGTCATGAATTTCGCAACAACAAGAAGTATTGATAGTTCCTTAAGTTGTCGCAGATCCTATTTAGGCGCTACCGCTATTCACTGTCACGTCAAATACATTGGTTCTTATGGGAGAGAAGCACAGGTTGCCCAATTGTTGGAAATGGCATTTGTCAGAAATGTCATTCATGATTTGAGTAAGTTTTGAACTTCCGATAGGGACAAAAGCAATGCAAACTGAACGCTGTAATGTTTGGGTCTAGGGGAATTTATGTATTCGCGAATTGACAGGAATTCGCACAATTCGCACGCGTTCTGACTTCAAATTCATTCAAATATTTCACGAATTTTGCGAATTCTTTGCGAATTGGTCAAATTCAAACATTGACAGCTGGCGCCATCTTAGTTGTCATTCGCAGTGACAAAGCAGAGAATGTGAACAATTCGTAAAGAATTCGCAGAGAATGTGCGAATTCGTAACAAAATCGCAATGGAACGATCAAATTCGATAGATTCACTGACATAAATACCCCTAGGTTTGGGTTTGGTTGACTGTGCATACTTATATTGTGCTTCACTCTTTTGGCGAAACATTCTAAAGGCAATGCTTGACACTACTCAATGTTTGACGATGTGAGCGCGAGGTAAACAAACCAGAGATTACTATGGGATATTTTTATTCATATGGGATAAAAAGATCGCATAAAAATAACAGATATTTTTCACGCGTTGTGTTCAGCGAAACGCATTAATACACAATAGCGATTCTGCACACACAGAGTCGCTGTTTTTTCGTTATACTCTTCACACTTACGATGAGCTGCGCGGAGTGTGCATGCTCATGTTTCGCTCACTTCTTTCTTTG